CTGGGGCCGCACCATCTTGTGCCCATGTAGCACATGCGGCTGCTCCAGCCCAACCAGCAAATTCTAAAGTAACACCGTGGGTATCAGGGCAGGAAGGGAATTCCCATCCACATGGGTGGCATTTCACAGCTGCCAAAATGCCCTCCTCGCCAGCTCCCCGGCAGCGTTTCCTTGGTTCAGCAGGATAGGAGCCTGCCAAGAGGAATCAGCTTAGCAAGAGATCCAGGTACCCTGGCTCTTGTCCCAGAGCCCTCCTCGGTGCAGAGCTGTGCTCCAGCCTGTGCTGGGTTGGGGAGATGAAAATGGTTCTTCAATCCCTGTCCTTAGCGACGTCGGAGTTTCTCAGAGTGGTACTTGGCTACTCCAGCAAAGCCTCCGCCGCTTCATCCCATAGCTTCCTGCGCCATTCCCAGGGATGCCTGCCTGGCCGTGTGGGCAACAGAAGGAAGGGTACCAGTTCCTGGAGCCCACAGTTGCCCCCCCAACGCAGGGGATGTTGCCGCAGAATGGCCGGAGCTCCCCCACACCCAGCCTGACTCACACAGCGAGGAGTAAAATGAATAAACACTTCAGCCTCTTCTCTGCGGTGGCAGCCAGGGAACAGCTGAAAGAGCCCATCTCCTGCAAGGCACGTGCTCGCTGGGGGAGCAGCCGTCATGCAAGCCCCCCCGAGACTCGTCTGTCAGCATCGGCATCCTGGGTCTCAGCAGGCCCTTGGGAAATGGGTCCCAGTGGAAAGGAGAGGACAGGATCTGCCATAAAACAGGGCTGCCGTCCTACCCAGCGAGCTGCTCCTGCCATTGGGAGGGCCGGTCAGTGACACTGCTGCACGAAAGCTGCCCCTTTTACCACGAGGACCTGGTGTGTAGGGGAGCAACGTCCATGAAAGCTTTCCTTCATCTAGGGACCTTTGTCAGGGAGTCAGTTTGAAAGTGACCTTGTCCCAAAGATCTGGCAAAAGTTTATGGAGGGGAAAAAAAACCCTGAAACCTGCGTCCAAAGCTTCTGAGATCACACCTCCCAGGGGAGCCAGTTGGGCATGGTCTGCACACCACCTTCTGGGCTGGGGACCATAAGTGGAGGCATGTGTGCGGGGCTGCCCAGAGGAGACATCTGCGCCAGGGACATGTCCCTGAGACGCAGCACTTGTTTTCCAGCCTTCAGGGTGGTGACGACTTTGAGCTGCGGCCAGGTTAGGATTTCAGTCCGTGACCCGAAGGGGAAAGGCTTGGTGTGCCATTCCTGGGCTCCAGCTTCTGCCCCAGCTCTTAGAAGCAACTTGGTTTCTATTTTTTGTATTTCCTCGGATCCCGTGAGCTTTGGATATTAAGGCTTTTAAATCTCCAGAAGCACATTTTGCTCATCTGGGCTGCTTCCTGAAGGACCGGAGAGCAGGCACAGCCAGCCCTGCCACCTCCTCGCCTCCTGCGTGCTGCACCAGCGGCAGCATCCTATTTTATTCCACCTTCCCACCCCTGGGCCCGTGCCCAGGACTAGTCTAAATTTTCTTGCCAACACATTTTTCCTCCAAGATGTTCTGCCAGTCAGTAATGCCCTAACGCCCTGTCTAAAGGTTCTTCCCAAATCTGTTTTGGACAGTTTCCAATTTGTAACCCAAGATTACTGCCTGAGCAAAGAAAAAAACATTGCCGGAGGACGCTGGGACAAGGGACACCCCAGTCCCTGGGGCAGCCCCTTATCTCGGGGCTTTATTTCCCCCTTGACACCTCTTTCACAAGCAAAGGCAGGGCTGGAGAGGCCCAGAGGATCTGTTCCAGGTCCCCCCAACAGTTACAAACCCCTTCACCACCTCCTTCCAGCCTAAACTTGGCCTCGGCCACTTTGTTTCCAGAGACATCCTTCCATGTAAATCCTCCCCTTCCTCTTCTGATCCCCGGGGAATTCACACGTATACGTGCTTCCGCTTGGGGATCGCAACCCTCGCAACGTGCAAGCCGTTTCACAGCGGCAGGCAGGCGGAGGAGGAGATGCGGAGCGGGGACACCAGTGTCACTGCCTCCCCGCTGCCCCGTGCAACGCTCAGCCGGGGCTCCTGGAAGCCCCCGCAGAAGCCAACGCTTTTGGAGGCCCAGTGCCCCGCAGCCTGGCTCCTCGCACGCCCCAAAAGCGAACACACACACACACACACCCCCACACACACCCACACACCCCCCGTGGGCTCTGCAGCGGGCAGGGGCTGGGCTGCGGCAGGGCGGGAGCGCAGGCCAGGGGAGCTGCCGCCGGGCAGGTCCCCGGCGTGGGCGAGCGCCGGCAACCCCCTAATGACAGCCAGGCCTCGCTGCCTGCCCCGCTCTCATCCCCCAGAGACACCGACCTGTTGCCGGCAATTAGAGGCGGTTAGCACCTCCTCGGCTACCGTAAACACGGACATAATTACAGCCTGTTCCCGCTGCCGGCCCGGAGGGACCGGGCTGCCCAGCTCTGCCTTTCCCGAGCCCTTTGCAAATGCCCGCGGGGCGGAGAACGCCAGCTCAGTAATTGTGGTACCTTTGCTTCTCCCCCCCCCCTTTCTTCCCCCCCCCCCCAAATATACCCAAGGGGGGTTATATTCAGCACTGGAAAAAATACTGGCCCACCGGAGAACTTTTTAGGCTCTCCAGAAACGTATGGCCGTTTTCACGCTGATGGGGTGTCTCCCGTTTCCCCATAAAGGCGACTGCGAGAAAAGGCCTTTCGGTAGCGGCTTCCCCAGTGCGGCCTCGATCTTCTCCTCGCTCGGGTTTGTCCGAATGTCTAGCTAAGACAGGCTTACGTCAAATATCGGTCATCTGAAGTTAAATCTTCCACGCTGAAGGCTGCTCTTTGTTTTTAAATCAAAAGACTTGCGGCTCCATCAGGGAGCTGAAAGAAAGCCTGGATTTGTACTTTTCTGCAGTTTTAAACATGACACTCTCCCTTTTATTTATTTTCCTTTTTTTTTTTTTAAACTCCGAAGGCTCAGCAGGCAAGCCTCTGCAGAGACGAGGGCTTTGCACCAGTGAGATCTGCAAACGTGTCTCTTCTTTCTTGAACTTTATTTTTCTCACGGTCTCTGAAAAGGCGCGATCAGGTGATACGTGTGGGACCGGCCCCGTACAGGTGCAGATCAGGTACTGGAGGAGGTGGAAAAACATTACTGTGTATACTCAAAAAAAAAAAAGGGGGGGGGGAGAAAAGAAAGAAAGAAAGAGCGAGTGAGCACATTTTTGAATAGGCCAGGTCTAGTTCTTGGCAGGATGACTCAGGCTTAGCTGGCAGACTATGGGAATAGGAGTGTGAGAAAGTCAGTCAAGCGGGGGGGGGGAAGATTCAAGTCCCCAGGCAAAATACTGCTTTTTTTGTTGTTGTTGTTAAAGTAACCCACAAACTCTCCGGACCCGCTGGAGGTAGCTGGAGAAGCGCGGCTGGGCCAGGGCCGAGGGACAGGCACCACCCTGCCGCGCTGC